TGGGCACCACACAGAGTGGTCTTATTGGTTAGCGGCGGGACACCAAGCCTATCGTCATAGGCACTTCGAAGTCAAAGAAGTCATCTTTGATTGCTCTGACCCGTACGCACTTTTCCCTGCACCCTTTCAGTGACGATATTTAATCATTCTTGCTCAGTGACTACCCCTATCTGCTCTCCGCCGGAGGCGACGGCGTTGTCCAAGTCTGGCATCGGCCACATCCCGATGGGGATGTCGTGATGGCTGATGCAGATGGACAGGCTGTCAAAGAGCCGCCGAGAGAGCTCAAGCTCGTGGCCAACCGAGAGGCCGACGGATGTGAGTTCCTTATCTATTCGTGTCTTCCGTTGCTAAATTGCTTGTCATAGTACGGGCATGGCATGCACGCGCTTGCCCTACGACTCTCAGGCTTCGCTCGCATCATCCCGACGACCGTGCACTGGCCGTTGGCTGCTCGAATGGACGCATATACATCTACAACGACTATCTCGACCCGAATAATTGGAATCATCAAGCGTCGGTGCCTGGGTATGAGCTATGTCCCGCGAAAAGCCCGCGCGCCACAGGCGAAGTGCTCTGGGGGCGCGACACTTGGTTGTATGCTTCGACCGAGTCGGACGCTCATGGCGACCATTGGGCGATCGACACCAGCAAGCGTAACGGCAAGGGCAAAGAACGCCTCTGCGACGGATCTGGGAAACCTGTGACCGATAGCGGCGACGCTATGGCGCTGACTGATGGTCGTGCGCATTCTCTCGTTTTTCACTCCGTAGACCCCGACTTACCCCGTGATCTAGACGACCGACTCGCGCTTTTCACGCGCAGTAAAGAAGCGAAACACGTTCTGCGTGTATACGACGTCAAGAATACGAACTTCGACGCCGTCACGACCGTCACACTCGAGCGGTTCCCCCGTCGCAACGAGATCGCGTCGGAAGTCACCTGCGCGAAGTTCAGTCCCGACGGCTGCTTCATCGCTATCGGGCGCAACGACAATTCCTTCCACATGTATGATACGCGCATGTGGAAGGAGCCCATCCATCGGTTTCAGCACAATATATCGGCAAATGCACAGAAGAATCGGTCCATCGGCGCGCCGAATTACGGTGTCACGCATTTCGAATGGGTCGTGCCGCCTCGTGGTGGAGGACTTGGTTTCGTCTCAGGAGGTGGTGACGGTGTGTGGAGCTCCTTACTGTATCGAGATGTCATCGCTAAGGAGTGCATATAGGCTGTGTTTATCTATGGGACATGCTCAATGCTCATAGTGCTAGGCCAGAGCTCCTAGCTGAGATGCAGCATGGCGTCGCGACGTTTTCTGTTGGTGATCGTTGGAATGGAGAGAAGAGGCTCGTTGTGTGAGTTTTTCGCTTGCTTACCTTGTTGCATAGTACTGAATATAGATGTTAGTGGTGACTGCGGTGGTCAAGTTCGCTTTTTTAATTGATATTTCCATGTTCTATACCTGTATCTGCTATGGCTCTCCTGCTATTTTGCTACGTTTTCGCTCTACATACTAAGCTCTCGTGCTTTGCCATTGTACATCCTTGTTGTTTACCCTGCTATACCACTACCATCTCTTGAATATACTTGCTATCTTCGCCCGATCATTGAGGTGGGGACCAAAGTCATTCACGGTCATCCGAACTAATCCGTATAGTAGCATGATCAACAGTATGGTACAACAGAAGAAGAGGTATATCTACAAACAAACAGCATCACGAGACGAATGAAGCTCACTGCGGCGCGACAATCGCCGGACCGGCATCTCCGCTCGAGCGCTTGAACGCCTTCGTCGAGAACGACAAGCTACTGGCGAACCCGGTCGGCAAGTTGGGCATCTTCGGCATATCGACGCTCGGCATATCGCCGAGCTTGAGCTCTCTCAAGCCCTCGATATCCTTCATCATGACGCTCAACCTGCCCATCCCGAACCGGTCGCGCAGGCCGTTCTTGTCCTTGCCCAAGCCGGCTTCGCCGTCCGCGGCTGAGCCGGCACCGTCGAAGCCCTTCTCGAACGATCCCCAGTCCGCGCGCTGTGCAAGATACGGTCTCAAGAGAGACGGGTCGATGCGTCCAAGATAGCCTTCAGTGATGTAGGACTTGAGGATCTCGGGTCGCACGAGGAAGATCTGCCCGAGCTGGCGGACAAACTCGAAGCGCTCGTGAAGGGCGGGGACGCCGAAGGCGTCAATGGAGTCTTGGTAGGATTTGAGGTCCTTCGCAAGCATCAGACCACCCGTTGCGCTCACGGGGAACTTGCGTAGGTGATCGAGGAGCAGGCTAATCGGGTTTCGTGTCAGAAAGGGGCTTCAAACGAGAGTATACGAGCGCACCTGAGGAAGGCTACACCGACCTCTGTGAGAAAGGACTCGAGGTTCTTGCCGCTGAGGTTCTGCTTGGCGGCTACACCAATGCGGTCGAGCATCTCGCAGATGGCATCGCAAGGCTCGGTGTTGACGCGCGCAAAGGAGATATCATCGTTCCGCGGCTTGAAGTCGGTCTTCTTCTGCTTCGCCAGCTGAGCGCTTATCCAGGTCACGATGGCGTCCGTGAGCCTTTGGGTGAGGTTATTCGCAGCACCCTCGACTTTGCTGACCGTCTGGTTATTGAAGATGGTCATCTCGCGCCGCGTTGTGACTGAACTGGCAGCGAGGGGGAGGAGAGCGACATTGACGTATTGTTGCCAAAGGTGGGTGATGAGATCAACAGATCGAAGAACGTTCAGCGCCTGCAGATTCGGGTCCGTTATCGAATGGTTGGTGGTCTCAAGGCGTGCTGTAGCTCTGTAATAGAACGTCAGCGGAAGAATTATGGTGAGTAGAAGTCGCGTACGTCTCCATAGCGATCTCAAGATAGGCGTTCGATATGAAGTCGGATAGTGTTTTGAACAGCGCGAAGACATGCTTCGGCCTAGATATTGGTCAGTACCCATATGATACATGAAGCCTTGTGAAATGCGTACACATCATTGGGGGAGCTGAGCTCGACAAGCCGCCCAACACACTCAGCATGCCACTTCAGCATCGTCTCCGCAAGATCGATGCTGAGGGCACCATCCTCGTCACGCAAAGGCTCCTCGCCCGGAGTCTCGGTAGCAACCTCGGACTTGCCAACACCGAATCGCGCCAAGGCTGCTGCTGCCATCTTCGATGTGCCAGAAGCGCCCGACGTTGCGTTCATGACACGATCAAACACGGATGATTTGGCGCGGTTCACGCGCTCCTATTCGTGTGTAAGTATCGCATCGAGAGTATGACATTGTATTAACGCACATGGTAGCGAGTGAAGACGACAAGGCAGCTCGAATATAGCTCGCCAAGCGACTTTTGCTCTCTTTCCAAGTATCGCCCAGCCTCCGTGTACGGGGTAAAGAGCTCCTCCATCGCGGCTTCCAGCATTGTACTAATTGCAGTGACAGTACCTGTGCCAGCCGCGGGTGGAGAACCGAGTTTGAGAGACGAAAGATCGGGACCGCTGCTGATCGGCGAGCGAGGAAGAACAGCTTGAACCTCATGCCCTTTCAGATCCTCCATGAGTAGCGATATCTGCGCATGACAGAGTTGCAAGATGCGTAGAAACGCAAGCTCTGATATTCCTGACGCGCGATTGAGCAGCTCTTCCATGACTTGTTGGATCTGGTGGCTGGATGAGCTTCGGACGATGAACAAACGTAAGATGCGCAACTCACAGACTGAGCGAATACGCGTTGCAAGAACACTTGCATCACGAAGGGAGGATTTGGGAAGACCGCTTGCACGATCTGTGCCTCCTGATCAACTGTTGTCCTGATCTCTTTGAGAAGTGTATGCAATCCAGACTCGGTTTTTGGAGGTGTAGCGTTAGGGTTAGGTAACGCCTCCCACCTATATCGAGATCAGTATGGTCGGTCTGTCAAGTAAGCGCTAGTATACATACAACAACGCGTCTTCAGTCTCATTTGACTTCTTCACACGGTTGATGAAGAAGTCGTGTTGATTGACGTAGACTTGTACGCAGGATGCGCCACCGTTGAAGTCGAGTAAAGTTTGAGCGCAATGCTAGGGTGATGGCTATCAGAACGCCCAATCATTTCCGGAATAGCCATGCGAACATACACGCATCATCTTGGGTTCACTTTTCCGGTACCAGCGGTCAAATGAGTACAGCATGTCCTTCTCGAACTTCTCGCAATAGCGCTCGATGTTCTCTCTAGTCTGACATCATGACGGTCAGCATTCGAAACCCAACTCCAAATGATGGTCATACCTTCTCCGCGCTGGGTAAGTCGACCTCTTTTGCAACGGTAGTCAAGCGTCGTAATAGTACGGCGACCTTTCGCCTGCCTTCACGGCCTTCCTTCAGCAAAGCGTCGAGCTTGCTGGTATCATCACGAGTGAACTGGTTGTAATAGTCAATGATGTCGTAGGCGGCCTGCGCACGTAGGCGTTCTTGATGCACTGACTCAAGCTGCTCGCCTAAGAGTGAATGAGCGAATATCCGAATGCCTTGGTGATGTAGCGTACCTATCCGGATGGCAGTCCGTCCAACTTCACTCATACGACTTTCCATGCTGGAGAAGGAAGTGCCGACAGTCTGTAACGTCCAGATGAGACTCGGCCTGCAATCACAGGGTGGGTGCACGCACATCGAAACCGCGGTTGAGCTCGGCCATCTTCTTCGAGTACTCCCGCTCTGCTACTCGGACAGTCTTCTCCATGCGCTCCGTCTTGTCCTGAACATCTTTCCGAATTGCAATGAGACGATCAACGGCCGATTCAAACGACTGGATGAAGGGTTTCGCGTCGAAGGCTTCCTTGTATAGTGCGTAGGTTAACCAAATGAAGTCCGCACAGATAGACTGCGCACGTACGCCCAGAGTCGTGCTTCGACTGTGCGATGAGTTTCTCGGAGAATGATGCCACGAACTCCTTGACGTCGAACTTGCCCTGTGGGCCAAGGTCCATTCAGGTTCATGAGTGCGCGAGCCGCGGAGCACGAACCTCGAAGGTCTCGGGCTTCAGGATCTCCTGGGCGGCGCCATCTAGAGACTGCACTCGGTCCATGACATGTCCAGGCTCGTTAAAGTAGCAGTTATAGTTTTCGAGTTGGTGGAAGCACCGGGCAAGAGAAGGTTACGCGAAGCCGCAGTGGCGGCAGGTTTGATCTCAGGCGCAAGCGCGTTCGCGCGCAAGAAGGCTCTTCCCACTGGACCACCATCATCCCGCGTCCCCAACCCATCTCTTTCAATTAAGATACTATTTTCATGCTCGCCGGACTACTACGCTGTGACTAGATCGATACAATACAGCCATTTGTGCAAATTAAGCGTCACCTTTTCTCGCACATGCCGAGCCTTCGGCGTTCCATCCGCGTTGTCCGGTGCCTTCCTAGTGATCCCACATCGCGCTCCATGGACGTCGTGTAGCTGAGCGACTCCTGGAGGCTGTGATTAGATGCGTGGAATAAGCGCAAGAAGTCATCTTCACTTACAACATCTGACTCGCGGCGCGGTGGCGGCGGTGGTAAATGCGCGACCTCCGTGAAGGCTTGCTTCGCCACCGGACTCTGCGCGTTGTCAGCTTGGCTGCACAGACTTGGATAACGTAACAGGCTACTCACACTCAAAAGCTCCGAGAGGCCCAGTGTTCTCTCCCTTGGAGGCTCGTATCTTTGGTCATCCGAGCGCCTCTGCTGATAGGACGGGGTCAAGAGGTCTTTCATATCCCGTAGGATATCGACGTCGAGTTCAGTAGGATCGAAGCCCCAGAAAGTCTCGAGCGATGAAGTGGCTCGCCGGTTCATCTCTCGCGGTCCCGCGGGTTGCTGAGGGCGAGATTTGCGAGGCGGTCTAGGGGGCGGCGGATGTTCGAGAGGGGTCATGACGGTTAATTTGCTTTCGACGCTGGATTGAACTTTGGTGTATTCGAGTGTAGGTGATGGAGGATGAGTTATACATCAAGTGTACGACTATGCCTAGACTTATAAGCACTTTCGTGTGGAAGGTTTCGCGGATGCCCTGTCTAGGATGCCGGGAAGCGTCTCGCGGGTGCTCACCCCTGGGATTATCCTCAGCGCGCGTGAGTTGAACCCACCGAACGCACAACAAATCTGCCTCGGCGCTGGATAGTGTATACACTGCTATGGCATACGAATCAGGCACCCCTCGTAGTGTAGGATCAAAATGATGTATGCAATTAGACTATAGGCGTGCGGCCGACATATGGCAAATCAGCGACGTCCGAAACATCATTGTGACAGGGGCAAGATGATTCGTGCCACTTCTGGTATCAAGTAGAGTATCGCACAGAACACGTAATTCATGAACGAGAGTGAGGTTGCCAAGTCTAGGCATGAGATATTCCAAGCTTCGCCGCATCCGGGTATAGAATTTAGACTGCCTTGAGCCTATTCCCACACCGTTTCTTGTGGCCTCCTTGATTCCAGTCCCTTCATTTGCTCGCATGAGTGTCGAACTCGAACTCGAGACGATGAACGAAGGGCTCACTTCTTCTGACACTCTCGGCCACAGTATTGCGCCTCTCCGCATGCTTGGCACAGGGATAATTTTACCGAAGGTTTCGCCATGCTGTACTCGCAAGCGGGCCAGGAGCAGAATGTCCGCCCTTCGCGTCGATGTCGTCTTCGTTCTTTCTCTTCTTCCAGCCCGCAAGCCTGACCGAACGCACTCCATCCGGTTAAGAGCAAATTGAGTAATCGGTCGTTCTTGGCGCGATAGTGGGACGCCTGGAGTCGTGCAAGATTGGGCCACCAGTCTGTGCGTGCATTGGTTTTGACTTGTGTCACAAACGTACGCACATGTGAGCGACGATCTTTCGTTTTCATGGTCCGAGTGTACATCTGGATCTGGTGGTATAGGCGCTCTCTGTTCTCTATGACGGCAATGAGCAGCATATTTGACATATCGGTCCCGTGAAACGACGCACGACGCTCGAACTCCGAACAATCATCGACCACGAGGTGAATCTCTCGCGTTAAAGCAGCGAGAAGCAGCGAACCTTCGACGTTTACAATAGAATCCACTAAATCGTGTCTCAGAACGCATCGTTCAATACAGTTACTGAAGGTGCGAGCAATTGGTTCGTCAGCGAAAGGGCGTTCGAGACGCGATAAGGCTGCTCACCGCACAAGGTAAGAAGTATTCCTACAGACCAATATACGAGTTTCAGGGTCCGGATCATGGCCGTACTGCTCCAGCGAAGCCGCCACTGCGTCCAGACAAGGATATTTTGGGAAGTATGGTAGCATCAGTGGATGCAATCCCGGAACATCCAAAGCCTGGATGAGTGATCCTCGGTACCGGCCACTTATACGTTCTTGCTTGAGATCATGTAGGACGCGTTGAAAGAAAAGGTCCGGTCCGAATGTATCCATTATGGCCTCTTGAATATATGCTGCGATCAAGTCCTCACTGCCTTCGCAGATGATTCGACCATGGAACTCAAAGGCAAGATCCATCGTACTCGGGTGCCATTGATCCGGACAGGATACCCACAGGTATAGAAACAGTTTGAGTGATGAAAATTCGGGAGGTGTGCCCGCTTGTACGACGCAGTGCTGATACGCGCAAACAAGAGGAAGGATGTATGCTCCTCGGGAGGTGTCAGGATCGGGCCAAATAGAGGGCGTCCATAGGCCAGCTAGGCTCTCGCGGTGTTTCCATATGTGCTCGCTTATATCAGTCGAGCGCGCGGCAACCCGCTGAACGACGACCAAGTCGCGCCCCCCACCGCGTTCATGGCTATAACGGTGAAAGACACCAATGATGCGGGATAAAGTCTCGAAAAACGCGCCGATGACAGGCTATGGATAACATTGAGTCAATAACAACCGTGACTGGTAGAAAGAGCACATACAAAACCCTCCTTCAGAAAATCGTCACGTAGGAGTATAGCGTGCATAATCTCGTCAAGTTGATAATCTAGTACGGTCGTCCATGTTGCAGCATCTATGTTTGGCATTGGCCAAGCGTCCCAATCGCACATTATGGCATTAGCCTCCGCAAATATATTCCTATCCCCGCGAATAAGTCGGCCATTCACTCGCAGACTGCAGGCTGCGTGGAACAGGCGGAAGACCTCGGCAGCCGACAAAGCACCCGCTCCTGCTGCTTGAGACCGTGACGCCTCCGCTATCAAGATTTCAAGGTCAATCAGTGCTTGTTCGTTTGCAGGGTCCATCGTTGGAGTCCGAGAGGATGTAAGTGGGCTCAAAGATTGACAGCTCATGAACAGGACCGTGGCGGTGGGAGGGAAGTGTTGCGCGCGCGTCGCGAGTGTTTGCCAGTTGTCTTCGACTATCATGGTGGCGCCGGCGTCTGTACCCTTCTGGCCATACCAGGCTTTCTTCCTCTACATCGAACCTGTATCCGCTCTCGCGGGTGCCTATTATGCCGCCATAAGGCCCGATGCGTACCTACACGACTTGACGGCGCCATACAGTCGCATTCCCACGCCAGCGACGTCCGTGCCATCGTATATGGCCATGTATCAGCTCGCGAACCTGTACCTACTATTTGCGTTGAATGAACACCTTGTCTTGTCGAGCTCTACCTCTATGACAACATGGCGCAGGTTATTGTTCGGTCTGCTTGTAGCGGACATCGGGCACCTTATCACAATGGCGCCAGCCGGATCCGAGGTGTTCTGGCAGTTCTGGCGTTGGAACGCGATGGGTTGGGGAAGCGTAGCATTTGTATATATAGGCGCGACCATGAGAACGTGCTTCCTGCTGGGCGTAGGAATGAATAGCGGGAAACGGTCAACGAAAGGCAAACCCAAGGCGACGTGATCGTACCATGCAGGTATGTTATAGTTGTTCGTTCGCTCAGGGTTGTTCGTGACAGATATCTTCAGGTTGGGCGTGCTATTATCAGTCTGATATGATCTATCTGCTTGTGTATCGCTTTCAATGCTGCAACCCCACTGTACCGTTGTATCTGTACTAGCGCAGACCCGTGCTCCGCACGGGCTTGCCTTTGACGGTTGCCTATAGCCGTGCCCTGCACCCAGTATGCTATCTGTGCCATCCACTTGGCAGTTTGCTTTGCACTCGGCTATCTGCCTGCTCAATTCTGCCATTACGGTGTCCAAAGCCCACACTTTCCCCGCACTCTACACCCATTAGCATGCTCTGCACCCGGTGTCGAATCCCTACTTCGCGCCGCGTCACTCGCGTCGGGATGCATGGTTCGCCGTACGGCGCTTGCCTTGTACCCGGTTTCCGTGCATATATCCTGACACCGACATGCAGTTCGAGAAAGTTCGCGACACGAACAGCTTGACGTCGACGCGTCTGACGCATCGCCGGCTAAGCCAGTTGCGCTGCACAGACTGACTACAGTATGCTGTCCTGCATGCGACTTCCATACCTACCTACACGCCCAGTATCGGGTCTCTGCTCTGCGCCCAGGGCGGTGTGACTTGTGCTGGGCGGTTGGCTCACCATCGACGGATTCGGTGTATCGCGACACGTCTCGCTTGGATCTGTGCTACATCCTCGTGAGCGTGTCATCCCCTCCGTCCATAGCC